TTTTTAAAATATACTGAGTCAATATGGCTGATGCCTTCTTAAAATTGTCTTTAAAATCACTCTAAAAAAATTACTCTAAAAATATGCACAAATTAACCCCAAATACATGAGCTTCCGAGAAAAAAGGGAAATCTTCAACCTTAATTTAGTATTGTTAATAAAAAATTTTGTTAATTTCATACTTAGATAAAGGGTACAAGGAAAATTAAGACATCTTAATAATTAAAATACCATGAATGGTAATGAAAAAAAATTTAAATATCTTAAATAAATTTTCTTTGTGCATTGATTCATTAAAGGCATTTAAACAATTTTATAGTTAATTTTAATACTTTAAATAATAAGGCATTTTGATTTTTATTTTTATTTTTTCAAATGATAATTAAAATATTCTTTATTTTTGTTCAATACATTAATTTAATAAAAACAATATTAATTTTTTTTGATACATTTGATAATGATGGTTAGATAAGAAGAGATAACCCTTCATTTTTTTTTAAATCCTTTTTCATTTGACTTAAGTTTCGTTTAAACTTAAAATTTTTAATATGAAATCTCAATGATTAACCATTAAATCACCCCATTTGGGTTAATATCAATTAACATTGATATGCTATTTAAAAGCACTAACTAGAATTATGAGCTGAATGAATTATATAAACAGATAAATGGTATGGGAATGAATTATATAAACAGATAAATGATATGGGAGAGAGTGCTATGCATTGTAGCGAATTGCATAACACCATTTCTAATTGATTTGAAAGGCACAAATCTCACGCAATATATATATAGAGAGGATGTTGCTACAGAGGTGTTGTTGTAGGGATAATTTTTTTATATTATTTTTTTATATAAATTTTACATGTTATTAAATGAGTTGATATATTTAATATTATATATTTCACATGAATTAAAAGAATTAATCATTTTAATGACACGTCAAATTATAAAAAAAATGAGATAAAAAAGTTATATAAAAATTATTTTCAATATATATATATAGAGGATGTTGTTATAGAGGTGTTGTTATAGGGGTAATTTTTTTATATAATTTTTACATGTTATTAAATGAATTGATGTATTTAATATTACAGATCTCACATGAATTAAAAGAATTAATTATTTTAATGACACGTCAAATTATACAAAAAGATGAGATAAAAAAATTATATAAAAATTATTTCCAATATAGATATATATATAATGACAAAATTGGTTAATCAATGGCTAAGGATAAGATAGAACAAAATTGCCATGAAAGTGAAAGGATTAAGTATAAAGCCACCCCAACATGCTTGTGCATCCCATTTCCAACATCTCCAAACCCACCAACCCAAACCAACTCACCACCCCTCCTCCGATGGATCCGCCACCAGTCCCTTCCCTTCCCACCCTCGCTGCTTCCGCTACTCCCACTGCTGCCACCGCTGCCACAGCCATTCAAGCTGCTGCCACCTCCATGCACCTTAATTACCCTGACTCCGTTGATTCCTCCCCCCGCTCACGCACTGCCGACTCATATGACGATCCTCTACCTCCTGTGCCCGGTGCTAAACTCCGCTTCATGTGTAGCTACGGCGGTCACATTATGCCCCGCCCCCACGATAAGGTACTGTGTTATGTTGGTGGCGAGATCCGCCTTGTGGTGGTGGACCGACACTCTTCTTTCTTGGTGCTCTGTACCCGCCTTTCGCGGACCCTCCTACACGGCCGCCCCTTCACGTTGAAGTACCAGCTTCCCAACGAGGACCTTGACTCCCTTGTAACCGTCACCACCGACGAGGATCTTGAGAACATGATTGAAGAGTACGACCGCATCACGGTGGCTTCTGCCTCTTCCGCGTCGTCTCTTAGAATCCGCTTGTTCCTGTTTTTTAACAAACCGGAAACAGTAGCGTCCATGGGGGCCCTACTAGCGGATCCCAAATCGGAGACATGGTTCGTCGATGCGCTTAATGGGTCAATGTTGCTTCCTCGTGGGCAATCGGATTCTGTTACCATGGATTGCTTGCTGAATCCAGATAGTGATTTGGAAGCGCTAGTAGAAGGCAGAGCAGAGGGGGAGAACAAGGAGATGAAGAACGGTACGGCGGCAATCCACGATGTACAACATTCGATGCTTGACTCGCCTATGGTGGAGAACGCTTCGTCCTTTGGTTCATCTTCTTCAACGCCGTCAATGGCAAACTTACCGCCGATTCGAGTCCGGGTTGAAGAAGGTGGGTCGGCTAAAATGCTGGACCATAGGGTGGGGATAGAGGAGCAATTTGCGCAGATAAATTTTGCCTCCGCTAATATGCATAAGCAAGGTGATGGGATCAGGGTGGCGGTGCCTCTGGCCCCGCATCCAGCAACGGTTGCTGCTGCTATGACAGCGGATGTTGCGACTATTAATCCTGCAGATGGGTCTAGTGAGAGCATGAATCAGATTTTGTCCGATGACGAAAGGTCGGATCAAGGGGTGCCCACCGGATTCCGCAAACCTCCATTGTCGTTGCAGCCTGTGCATTATAAAGCAGGTGGAGCTGCTTATAATTTGCCATCTCCTGATTCAGTTGCAAGGTATTTCTCCACTTTTATTATTCCTTTTCTCTGTATTTTTCATACTAAGATATACACATTTTGCATTCATAGGACACCGTTCTTAGAGTAGATTAACTTCTTGGTCTTAGCCAAATTTCTTATATTTGCTCATTATTAAATTTCGATTATGTTTGGATAGAAAGAAAATTATGGGTGTTTTAGTCAGATTCTTGCATTCAAATCCAAAAAATCATTACTAAATTATGAAAAAGGGTCTAATTCCTTTGTCTTGCTTTTGCCATGCCCCAATTACAGTGATGCTTCGGCAAGTTCTTTCTCAAAGCCCTTGTGCCATAATGAGCAGGCTCATGCTGTTTCTAGTCCCAACAACAATGTTGATGCTTCGATGTCAAGCTCTCACATCCAAATTCAACAAGTTCAGGATCTAGGACATGGATTGCCTCTACATCTAGATCAACAACAGCATCAGCAACAACAACAATTTGTACACACTAGCATGCATTACATCCCTCATCCGGCCACTGGTACAGTGCCAATGCCATCTTACTATCCAGTCTATGCTCCTCCAACCCAACAGCACCATCCACACCCACTAGATCAGCAGTACCCTGTATATGTATTGCCTGTTGCAGCACGAGCAGAGTCATACATGACTGTGCAATCTAACATACTTGATGCTAGTGTTGTGGCCTTAAGCCACCCTGTAACAACTCCAAATCCTTCTGTGGTTACTTCCTCTGCAGCTCACAAAGATGCCATCCCTCCTATTTACCCTACAAAAGTTGCTCCTACCACTGGTAAAGCTGAGATGGCTGCAACGATGTACAGAGTGGCTGTGACACCACCTCAACAAATGGTTCAAGTTCCCTCGAATCAATTTCAGCAACAATATGTGGGTTTACCTCAAATGCATCACCCATCACAGTCAATTGCAGTTGCTCCTGCTACCGCAGCTAATTATGGATATGAGCATGCAAATTCTACCCATGATCAAATGTATTACACGCAGCATCAAGCTACTTCACAGAATCCACAGTACCAAACTATGACTCAAGCAGCAGCAGCTGCGGCATTGGCAGATGCTTCAAACCAGATGCCTGCGGACAACACCAAGCAACAGTAAATATAGACAAAAAGGAAACAATTTTGGTGGAGTGACTACACTCTTTCAACAATGTTTACATGTAATAGAATTTACATTGCTGTACTAATTCATAAAAAGGGGATCTGGGGTCTTGTGATTCTTTCTTTGAAGTTCTTGTCTTCTCATTGGAAATCAAAGAAATAAAGGTCTAGATTGCAGAGAAGCCTGCTCCTCTTGTTTTGCTCAATTCTTTACATCTGACTACATATTTCTAGGCAGTCAACTGAATTTTTTGAGGATCTGAAGCTTGATACTTCAACCAGTAGCACGGCCACGTGCATGTACTGCACGTTCAGAGATCGATGTTAATGAACAGATGTTGCAAGCTCATTTTTCAGTTCAACTACGAAGATGAACTTCATTTTTCTATTTAACTCCCCTTGATGGTGACACCTAAGAAAAATAAATCATGTGTAATATTTAGCAGGTTGGACATACTAACTTCTGGACTTAAACAGGCAATTAAAATATTCTGTTGGATGACCAGAGAGGTTCAGATTCAGAGTTAGTCACATTGAGGTTAAGCTGGAAGAAAAAATGAAAAAAACTGAGAGCCTATGGTACTCTTGTATAAAACAATGGTTCAGCAAAACATGAAAAATTAAGAAAAACGTTATAGGAATTAATGCACTCTCTATTCTTGGGGTCGAATGCAGTGAGTAATGTGATTAATTTCCAACTCCTAATATGTGACTAGAATGTGATTATAATGCCAAAAAAAACCATTAGTAGATGACAATTAAACAACTATATTAGCTCCCTTAGGGGATGTTTCTAGTTAAACCATTGAGACTTCAAATTAGAGATCTTAAATTTGAACCATAAAGCAAGTGATGAGGGATTAAAGGAAACAGAGAGCTATCCCCTATTGTATACTCATCATCTCATATACCAAAAAATTAGTACATTAAGATTTGATATTGATTAATACTTAGTTGAGTACATAATGCTAAAGGAGGAGAGAAAATTAACCCTAAATTAGTTGATGAGGTTGTATGATGACTTATTTCTTAATACAGAATCATGACTCCCTTTGAAAACTTCCAGCCAAAGTTTCTCTATTAGATTATTATTCTATTTGTCTAAAAAAAATTATTATTTTTTAACTCAAATTTTCTCTCAAATTATTTTTTTAAGTTTTTAAGATAAGTATATATATTTTTTACTTTAACTTGTCATAAGAAAGATACATTGTAGGAGGTACAACACTTGTACTAGGATAATGCTCGCAAAAGAATTAATTAAAATGTTTCTGTTAATTGCACTGCATCTCTCTTTTAATTGTTTCTATTACATCCATTCTCTTCCGCAGTATATAAGTTCATTTGGATGAAGCAGAATGGCATGGTCCTGGGCAAGCCTTCTAAAGATGGGTTGCTGTAAAAGTTCTGGAAAATGGATGAAACTTTAATTTTAGGTAGATTTTAGTCATGCTTTCAATTTTTTTTCCCCTGGTCATTACAAGGTATTTTACAATATTTTAGACAAAGAACCCAAAGTCAACAATATTTTAAAGAAGAATTTGTTTAACTTATATCCTTAAAAGTACAATTTAAAAGTATAATAAATATATATTTTTTATAATTAATTTACATAAAAAATTATAAAAATTAATATATATTTTAATACTATTGATATGTTGATAATTTTAATTAGTTAATTGATTAAATTAAAATTAATATTTATGCTTTTAATAAAAATTAATTATAAAAAATGTATTTATTGCACCCTTATTCTATGCCCTAACCTTTAATTTATTGATAATTTTAATTAGTTAATTGATTAAATTAAAATTAATATTTATACTTTTAATAAAAATTAATTATAAAAAATATATTTATTACATTTTAC